GTGTAATGAGCCCCCTGTGTTACAGCATCTCCACCTGCCACCCACTCACCCGCCCCCCTCCTCCAAGGACACACGCACAGGACGGTGTCTGCAATTACATCCACCGAACACTGTTGATGGGTATTTCCAAATGACAAGGTTTCCGGGGATTTTTTTGGAAAAAACACTTAATGCTCTCTACAGTTCTGCCTTGCTTGAATGGTTTTTTTTTTTTTTTTGAGTACTAAAAGTTCATTGATGTTTAATTTTCAAATTGTGGTTAAACATGCATAACATAAAATTTACCATTTTGACCATTTATAGAAGTGTAGTCTTTGTTAGTGTGAAGTGCATTCACGCCGTTGGGCAAACATCCCCCCGACCCCCCCCCCCCCCAGCTCTTCATCTTCCCCAGCTGACTCTGTCCCCGTGAAACACCAGCCACCCCTCCAGCCTCTGCCCCCACCATCCTACTTCCTGTCTCTATACATCTGATGATTCTAGGGCTCTCACATGAGTGGAATCATACAGGATTTATCCTTCTGTATCTGGCTTATTGCACTGAGCACAATGTCCTCAAGGCTCATCCAAGGTGTGGCAGGTGCCAGCATTTCCTTCCTTTTTAAGGCTGAGTAATATTCCATTGTGTGCAGACCACACTTTCTCTTGCTGCCTTCAAGATTCTCTGTCTTTGACTTTTGACAGTTTAACATCATGTGTCTCCGTGTGGGTCTGTCTCTCTGGGTTTATCCTGAACTTCACTGAGCTCTGGAATTTGGTTAGCTTCTTAGATTTGTAAAACCATGTCTTTCCTCAAATTGGTAAGCCTTCAGCCCTAGTTTTTCATATCACCTTCATGAATTCTCTTAGCTGGATCTTCTGGATAACTTGCTGCAGCTTCTACACCAGCACTTGCTGCTTCCTCTCGCTCTTTTATGTTACGGAGGCAGCTTCTTTCCCGAAACCTCATGAACCGACCTCGCCGGCTTCAGACTTTTCTCCTGCAGCTTCCTCACGTCTCTCAGCCTTCAAGAACTGAAGAGTCAGGGCCTTGCTCTGGATTAGACTTTGGCTTAAGGGAACGTTGTGGCTGGTTTCATCTTCTGTCCAGACACCAAGACTCTCTGCAATCAGCAAGAAGGCTATTTTGCTTTCTTATCATTCCTGTGTTCACTGAAGTAGCACTTTTCATTTCCTTCAAGAGCTTTTCCTTTGCACTCACAGCTCGGCTAAGTGTTTGTTGCAAGAAGCCTGCCTTTAGGCCTATCTTGGCTTCCGACATGCCTTCCTCACTAAGCTTCATCATTTCTAGCTTTTGATTTAAAGTGAGAGACATGTGAGTCTTCCTTTCACTTGAACACTTTGAGCCACTGTAGGGTATTAACTGGCCTAACTTCAATACTGTTGTGTGTCAGGGAACAGAGGCCAGCAGAGCAGTCAGAACACACACATTATTAAGTTCACCATCTTCTAAGGGTGCAGTTCATGACCCCCCCCAAACCATTACAAGAGTAACATCAAAGACCACTGATCACAGATCACCACAACAAATATAATAATAATGAAAAAGTTTGAAACACTGTGAGAATTACCAAAATGTGACACAGAGACGGGAAGTGAGCAAACGCTGGGGGAAAAATGGTGCCAACCGGCTTGCTCAAGGCAGGGTTGCCACAAACCTTCAGTATGTTTAAAAAAAAAAAAGTACTTGGAAAAAGCACAATAGAGCAGGGTGTGCTTGCAAATGTACATATTTTTGGATACTAAGACTTTTTGGTTTTTTGCCAGTTTCCAAATTTCTATTACTTTTATAATAAAAGTAAATTATACTTGAAAAAAACAAGGTGTGCAAAATGTACTCAAATACATTGTTGCCATTCAGGTGTGTCACCTTGGACAAGATGGTTTCTGGGGCACACAAGAGAATAAACTAACAATACAAACACAAACTTAAATGTTCTATTCAAACTACGTCTGACAAGAAAAGGAATGTATTCTTTAAAATAAAACTACATCTGACAAGAGAAGGAAAGTATTCTTTAAAATAAAGTAAGACTCATGTCCTTACACAGCTAAACCCAGATAAGTAACAGCTTTTACCACTGACAGGAAGAAAAAAAACCACCGAGTAGTTTTCTAAAAGCACATTGCTCAGTTATTGTATGATTTACATTCACGCCCAAAACAGATAATCAGAAGCCCTCAATCTAAAAATAACTGTGTGCTCACAATACTTATGTTCAGGTAAATCAACGCACAGACCTCAATTTACACTCAAGGAAATGCGTCACAGCAGCTTTCAGAGAACTCTGCCTGCACAGCTAAGGGCAGCCCTCACGCCTGGGGTGCAGCGTTGCTGGGCAGAGAAGGGACCCTGCGGCCGCAGGGGCCCAGGACGGACGGAGCTCCTACCACTTCTCCACCTCCGCACCAAGGACCAGTCTTCTTGAACTTGCCACCCAGTGCCAGGAACCCAGTACACTTTCCCCAAATACTGTCACGACAGTCAGTAAACAAGGCGGCCACCAGACTAGGTGGCTCCAGTCCCCCCAGGTCACAGCCCACCAGACAGAGCAGAACCCAACCAGAATCTGAGAAACCGAACTCAAGAACAACGATCCTAACAGCCAAATAAGGCAAACATTATATTAGACACAGATACACAGGTGCTTCGCTTTGCTTCTGTGTCTTGCCTACAAACCCCCTGCCCGAGGCCGGCCGCCGGGCACCCGGCCTCGCGCACTCACTCCCAGGCTGAGCTCCCGTCTGTGGGCTCCGCTTCCTGAAAGGCATACTCAGAAATGCAACACAGGGAAAAGGAGCAGCTCCACGTGAAAAGGAATGACCGAAGCTAAATGGCTGCTTCTTACAAGTCGAGAGCTCACCTGGGGTCCAAACAACAAGGCAGCCAAAGCGAACCAGAGCACCCGGGCTCGGCAACGCCGTCCGTATCCGGGCTAGGTGAGGGGCCACCGCCCGCAAGTCAGAAAAGCGCGTTACCCCAGCACGACCGCCGGAGGAAACCGGGTCCCCACCCCCCCTGCAGGTGAGGACGTGTCTGAGGGCCGCGCTCCCTCCCAGCCTCAGGGACAACACGGGACACAGAGCGCAGAGAGAGGCTCGAGGACGGGAGTGACGCCGCAGAACGAATCCACACAACCGGGGCCCCCTGGAAACTGCACCGAGTTCGTGGAAATGTGGACGAAGGGTCAGGGGTGGGACTAAAGACGCTACCACACAGCATTTAGGGTATAAGAGGCACCAGGGCCTGACCCGCAGAGTCACACTGTCAGAAGAGATGTGACACTCACTGGATTCCACTGTCGTCTGCGGCAGGCTGTCGACGACGCAGGACAGGAGCCCTTTGCTGGGAACCTTCAGGTGGCTCAGCACCACCGGGACAGCCTGGTACTCCAAGAACAGGCTCTTCCCTTCATCCGCCTTCAAGTCCAGACACAGAGAGTCAAACGCCTGCGCCAGGTAGTCGGCTGCAAGACAGGGCGTCAAACAGCGGCTGCGTCAGTGGTCCAGCTGGTAACAGACGCAGACGGCAGGAAGGGAACACCGCCACTTCCATGGATCCAAGAGGAAAGGAAAAACTGAACGACCAGAGGCGACAGGCTGAAGGCCAACGGGGAGGGACATTACATTATGACAGGGCAAAAGTCGTTCAGAATTTCCCTACTGTAACACTTAAGTCACAATAAACACCGTTCCTTCTTTACATCAAGAAAGAACACAATGGATGCTTAATAGTAAACACCACAAGTAATGTTAGTCCCCGTATCTGACTGTAACTACCACATGCTTCCACAGATCTCAACAGCATTAGTACCGTGATCTTGACAAGGCTCCTGAGACTACATTTTCTTGCTACTGCTGCCACACGGTCACCTGTTTCAAAATGCAAGTTCATACAAACGTGCTCAATGGGTTTTAAACCAGGGTTTCTGCCCTCTGATCCAGACCAAACAGGAGGCCCTCAAAGAGCCTCAGGAGACTGACCCGCCCGGAGTCTCCTGCGATGCCTCCACCGTGACGAATGGCTGGAGATCCGACCACAGCCGACGCAGGGACGGCACCCTGTGGTCAGGAGCCCTGGAACGTTCTCCAAGATGTTCCACGGGTGACTGGGAAGCACTGATGTGACCGGGATCAACGCAGATGAGTTAAGATACTTCAATGGCTACAACAGTTTACACCGTGCTTTCAAATGTGCAAGAACATTCCGGTTCTCTAAAACTCTTTCAACACACTATTCGAAGCAACAGAAACTGTTCATGCTGTTCACGCACTAGTGAGTTAATTTTTCTGCTGAAAGTTCTGTTTAAAGAAGGCTCAGAAGTGTTCTGAAACACACTGAAAATATGACAGGATCACCACTAAATTCCTGTCCTCTGGCCTCAGGTTTTGTCTCTTCTTTGCTGTCCATGCTACGTAAACCAAAGAAATAATTAGAGCCCTAATTACTAAGAATGAGAAGCTGCTGGGACTTCCCTGATGGCGCAGTGGTTAAGAATCCGCCTGCCAATGCAGGAGACACGGGTTCGAGCCCTGGTCCGGCAAGATCCCATATGCCGCGGAGCAGCTAAGCCTGTGCGCCACAACTACTGAGCCTGCGCCCTAGAGCCCGCGTGCCACAACTACTGCAAGCCCACGCGCCTAGAGCCTGTGCTCCACAACAAGAGAAGCCACCGCACCACACCGCAACGAAAGTGGCCCCCGCTCACCGCAACTAGAGAAAGCCTGCACGCAGCAACGAAGACCCAACACAGCCAAAAATAAATAAATAAATAAATAAATGTATTAAGAAAGAAGATTGAGAAGCTGGGAATAACCTGTGTGAAATTAAAACACATGTGAAAGCATTTTTAGAACTTAAGATCTGTGCCTCTGCGTCAATTTATAACACACTTCATCTTTACTTCTGGTAGCATCTAGCCCAAGGCACACTGCTGCACTTAACTTCTGAGCTTCGCAGAGCACTGCAAAGCGGCCGTGTATCTAGGTCGGCAAAGCTGCAGCCGCTCTCCGGAGCTGCCTTGCTGAGGCAGGAGAGCGCTGACGGCCGCTCCCGGGTACAAGCACCACTATGGGCGCTGCCCTGCTGCATCTGACACCAAGTCCTCTCCCTTCTCACTCGGCATTGCCTCAGATTAAACAGGCCGAAGGCTGCACGATACAGCAGGTTTGCAAACTTAAAAAGTAGTCCTTTATTAATCTGGAGGGGATACAAAGATGGTATTTGGTTATTTTATTTTTATTTTTTATTTTTTCGGTACGCAGGCCTCTCACTGCTGTGGCCTCTCCCGTTGCGGAGCACAGACTCTGGACGCGCAGGCTCAGCGGCCATGGCTCACGGGCCCAGCCGCTCTGCGAAATGTGGGATCCTCCCAGACCGGGGCACGAACCCGTGTCCTCTGCCTCGGCAGGCGGACTCCCAATCACTGCGCCACCAGGGAAGCCCTGGTTATTTTTTTAAAGTGGTCTAATCTTTCGAGGGGAAATTAAAAGTTACCTCCTTACTTTAATTTCCCTAATAATGAAGATTTCCTAAAAACCAATTTAACCTCTAAAAGAGTATTCTAAAAAAGTTTAGTTACCAACTGTGCCAAACCTGGTTTCTTTCTATACACATGCCGTACTACTGAGTGTCTAAGAAACGTCCCGATGTTCAACAAGACCACCTTTTAGTCCTGATCAGAGGCCACCGGTGGGCGACGGCCGGCTCGAGGATCGGATCGAGTCTCGGCAGTGACTCCGCCTCTGCGGCCGGGCCCACCTGGGACTGTGACCGCAGAAGGCGGCAGAGACCTCCAGCCCGGCAGCCCCTGGTGCGGTGTAGACAGGTGCAGGCGAGGGGCCGCATGGGGGAGGAGCCCAGCCCAGCCCAGCCTCCCAGCGGAGCTGAGCCCAAAGAGCCACGTGTTTACGTGGTCCATTTGAGCAGCGACAGAAACCCAACGGCATCCAACAGGTCGATTCTGTCTCAGGGGAAAACAACCCTGAGCGGTTTAATACCAGCAAACAGTATGACGGCCACAAGGAGAGTGGTTAGCGTACTGCTTAGGGGCCTGCTGGATGCCAGAACGCCGCGGTGCAAACACAGAAAAGGGAGGGGCCCACGCTGCACACCACTGACGGGGCTGAGCCTGCGGCTGCAGAGCTGAGCTCTCACCTGCCGGTCACGCTGCCGCCTCCCCAGGCCAAGCCTTTCTGCCCCTGAGCACGGCAGTCACACCCCACACCCCTCTAAGCCTGAGGGGTGACAGCATAATCACAAACACACAAACCCGTGTAGGTCGAGGGCCGAGAGCGGGTAGGGCAGGACTACAGAACAAGCCCTGACGCACACATTAAGCCAAACAGGAGAAGGCTGCCCCTTAGACAGGTAATCCCATCAGGTAAGATTCTTATCACTTCTTCTAATCCTCGTATCTTTACACGGATCAAGTGTAAAGATCAAGTGTGCATGCACAGAGAGTCGTATTAAAATGCTTCACGCTGATTCCCACACCTATGCAGTATCATTGTTGATGACGCATGACATTTCTCTGTCCTCGAGAAAGATCTGGCTCCCTTACAGTTTGTTCTTCTGTAAAAATGACAACCCCACATCCCTCCTCAGGTTCCTGTGGGGAGGGACCCCGAAACCACCGAGTGTGGCTAGAAAAAGACCGGCAACAGCACGAGAACCCACCCACTTTCTCCACCAGCGCAGACAGCACACCAGCAACCTGGGACTTCCTTCCCTTTTGAACTGTTTCCTTACAATAAGTCTTATTAAACGTTAGGATACATCTTGGTGGCTCCTGAAACCAGAATGCACTTCAAAAGTGATCATAAACTACAGTGCAATCAAAGCTGTACATGTCCCCTCCGGTGGCACATCCCCCGATCACTTAGCTTTGTGTGACGGGTCTGAGGTCGCAGCTCACAGTGAACGTCGGAGAGCCGCACAGCAGTGATGGAGGGCGCAGGCCTAGCCTCCACGTATCACCTGCAGGACGGAGGTGAGAGAATGCTGACCCCTCGCCACCCTGCTGGAAGGGTCAGAGCAGCCAGTATGCAGCGCTTAGCCCAGGACAGCAGGCACTGTGTAGGTGTTTGCTATTACTACCTCTTTGATGGTCTCGGGGAGTCACACTGGAGGGTCAAGAGGTGGGCTTTAGAAACAGAGCTGAGCTGAACCACGCTGTCAAACACTGCTGTGTGTGGCCCTGGCACAAAGGTCTAGGCTCTGTGACCTAATAACCACTCAAATGGGGATAAACCATGTTCAGACAACATACAAAGGGCTTCACATGACAGTGTCAAATCCACACCAAGGATCACTACCTGCGTCGATTCTCAGGAACAATCTACCCGCACTGTCCAGTCAATGGAACAGGGAATCACCTTACAGACCCACATATTTTTGAGTTATTAAGCATTTAATATTATGTGTATCATCCAACCCATCTATTCTCCACTGTTTCTACTAAATTTACCGATCTTGTAACAGACACTTCTATTTTATAAGTAGGAAATGTCCTCTCACCAAGTCTACTGTTTAATTTAAGAGCTTTTCTTACGTTTACTTTTTTACTTCTCCCGGAACTTGCTGCAGTGCGTGGCAAGACAGCGTGTGCCTCAATCCCCTTTCCCCACACTTGCACCACCGCCCCTAAGGGCGCTTCCTAGATGCCCTCCCTGCTCTCCTGGCTCTTCCTCGGCTTTCTGGCTGAGACCCAACGGCCCCCTTCCTGCCCTCAGGACCTCTCTGGGGCACCTGACAAGTGAAGGCTGACAGGGGACCAGGGGACCAGCTCCACAGGGACTGGCTTATGATTCTACGTTCTTAAAAAACTGACTTGGACCAGGAAGCAATCAAATTCATTAATTCAGTAAGTCCACATGAAGTGCCAGTTGTGTGTCAATTCTGGACTATTTTCCTATTATAATGTTTTATATCAATATTACTCATTTTTATTATTACACATCACAGTTGTTTTACAATCTGTGAAGGCAAAGCCTCCGCCCCAGGGCTGCTATCTCACTTGTTTCCTTTAAATTAGCACACTCACTGCAAATATTTTTTCAAATAAACTTTTCTACTACTCTCTCAACTTACACAAACCGTATTGGAATTTTAATTGGTACCATTAGATGCAGCCACCTGGGGTGTCTTATAGATTCTAATAATACTCTTGGTCTTCCCGGGTAAGAAGAACGAAAGTCCTTTATTGCTGCCCTTTAACTTCGGCGATAATCTTTATCAACCTGTTCATTCACCCATTATTTACCAAATCTTTACTTATGTCCTGTTATATTTCACAACAGATGAGGTTTTACAGATCCCATGTTAGATTAATATCCACATTTTTTTACATTATTTTGTTTTGCTTACATGAACAAGATCTCGTTTTTTCACACATTACAGCTGCTTGTTACTGATGGTCACGGTAGTTACGCTCTAGGCACGACAGTAGTCAAAATCAACGGACTTTTGTGAATTTCCTCTGGAGCCCGTTTTCTGAAACCCAGATTAGGCCTTAGACCACTCGGGCTGCTGTAACACAATGCCAGAGACTGGACGGCTGGGAAAGGACAGAAGGTCCTGCTCGCAGCTCTGGGAGTCTGGGGTCGAGGTGCTGCCGGTTTGGCGTCTGGCGAGGGCCCTCCTCCCCCTTCACGGTCTTCTTGCTGTGTCCTCGCGTGGTGGAGGCCCGAGGGAGCTCTGTGGGGTCTTGTTCATCTGGACACCACCCTCACGACCTGAGCGCCTCCCAAAGGCCCATCTCCTGACACCACCTCCCTGGGGATTAGGGTCTCCTCAGGTGAACTTTAAGGGGGACACACATTCAGACCACAGCACACTGATCTCTCAGCCAGTTTCTCTGACTGTCTGACTTACACAGAGTACCCATGAGTTGCCAGTTTTCTCTATTCCTTTCCAATGTTCATTCCCACTTGTTTAAGGTCACCACAGGTGGTCAGCACGGCCAATACTGTGCTGCACAGAAGGGGGACGGGAGGCACCGAATCCCTTCCTGCTTATTTCTCCTTTCCATTCGTTCCATCGGTAATGAATATCACTTTGTATCAAATGACGCTATCATGTATGCTGACATGTGGTGGACTCTGGCTTGGCTAATAGCCCTTCTCACAAACAACCTTTCAGGCAGTTACCACCCTATCTGTTAAGAAAATAACTAAGAGTCACAGTTTGGTTTTTCCCTTAAATTCCTTATAATCAGGAGAATATACTTCAGAGAAAGTAGTCAAAATAATTTACCACCACTGTGCACTTAAAAAAACAACCAACCAGACTGAGTTATATAATTTAACAGGGAAGGAAGAAAGGTGGTCTATTTATTGTTTGACTACATTGGTATCACTCACCTTAACACAAATTCTCATATTTAATAATCCAAAAAAGATAACTACTTATAGCTATATATCAAAACTGTACTAAAAACGGCCAACTTCGATGGAAACTTTTTTTTTGGCTGTGCGGCATGCAGGACCTTAGTTCCCCGACCAGGGACCGAACCTGCGTCCCCTGCAGTGGAAGCACAGGGACTTAACCACTGGACCACCAGGGAAGTCCCTGAAGGAAACATTTTTAATGCATTCATTTCCTCGTTCCCTCGTATACATCAAGCACCAGGCTGGGTGCGGGGTGTACAGTGGGCAACAAGGCAGTAAACTTACACACGAGTGTGGGGGCTGAGAAACTTTTTCTGTGAAGGGCCACGTAACAACTTTATAGGCTCTGGAGGGCAGGCTGTCTCCGTTGCCAGCTACTCAGCTCTGTTGTTATACAGCAAAAACAGAGACAACAGGAAACTAATGAACATAACTGTGTTCAAATAAAACTTTATTGACAAAACAGGTGGTGGGCCACATTTGGCCCATGGGCTCTGGTCCGCCAAGCCCTGCTCTAGTGGGGATCAGTAAACTATTAACAGCAATCTCAATACCACGCGGGAAACGCAAGGGCAGTGGCAGCAAAGGTTGCTACGGGCACGTGATCTAAGAGCATCAACAAGGGCCTCTGGGAGGGGCAACAAGGCCAACCCACCACTCATTTTTCTCAAATTCAGCAATTAAAGTAGTTTTTAACAATGGCTCACCAGTATAAAACAACTTAAAAGCACATTCTGAAAATGTAAAATATATTCAACTATGTAAGAACTGCTCCACTACAGAGGATTCTCTTCTGGTTACTGACAAGAAATTATAGCACAAGCACATCTGAAAGCTTACCTTGTGTGACTGTTTTGAGAACAATTAAAGTCGATAAAAATCTCAGTGGTAAACTGGAGCTCTTAAAGAAAGCAGCTGTCTTTGGTTTACTCTCCACAGAATGCTCCAAAGAATTACCCTGAAGGCCCTTGGTCACTACTCCTTTGAATATGTCTTCACCCAGTCGCCTCAATGTTGACGTCATAGTCGAATGCTGTTAAAAACACGTACTGTCTTAGTACACTTACTCATGTTCAGAAAATATGTATTTTAAATACTACAATCCAATATATGAACTAAAAATAAGCCAATCTTTTGCTAACTAAAAACAGATCAAATGGAGCTGAAAATATGCAAGACTGGAAAGCAGTAATTTCATAATCAACTTAAAAAAATTATTTATACTACATATTCCTCTAAAAGAAATGGGTACAACTAAGAAATGAGAAACAGTAATTTCCAAAGAATTAAATTAGGAGAAGCACTATGACAAGATTCCATTTCAAAACATCTAAGAGCAGATCGTGAGAGATCTCTGGCACAGAGCAGCCAAAGAAACAAGGGGAGGCTTGTGGGGTCTGTGCTGCCCGCCTCCACCACTGCCGGTGAAGAGCCCAGCATCCCCCAGTGCCCGCTCACACGCGATCATCTAGCGCCTCACTGCTTCACAGCCCAGTCAGATGGTAAATGTCACCACGATTGCAATACATTTTATCCATTTCAGAAGAAAAAAATGCTGGGTTAGAATCACGGACAATTCTCAGGGCGAATCAACTCAAACAAGAAAATGAGCAAAACAGAAATGATGGCATATTAACTCCCTCTAAAACAACACAGGCTCTGATGGTTTTCCACAAACGCGGTAAGAAGCCAACACAGGAAAAGCGTTCAACCTGCTGCAGACGGGAGTGCCGAAGCCACACTCAGAAATAACTGAAAATTCCCTTTGTTATAAACCCATATCACTGACTTTTGTAACGGCTTCCCCCATCTTCTGGGGATTTCTGACCCATCTGTACCCAGATAAGCACTGATCTTGCAATGTGGATAAAAAGCATCAGCTCTAGAACTTCTGCACATAAAATCAGAGACAGACATACTGAGATTTTATGAGTGTCAGAGGCCAAATGATTTGGTGGTGAGTCGCACAAGCAGTGCCATCTAATTCACATATATTATCAATAAGCTTTTTGATATCATTAGGAAGAGATAATACATTTGTGCTTTAAAGCCTCAGTGTGAAAAGGTAACAGAAGAAAATATTTCAAAATCCTACTCAGAATAATGCATTAGGAAGACAGGATTAAGGGAATTTTGCTTATGTCTAAAAATAAGCTTCTTGTTTTCTTAAACGTGTGTTGATACTACTTCCCTCTGAGTGGAAACAGAAGAGAAACCAAAGTCTCTGCTGAAGAACGTGGTGTCTCACGCATCTGTGCTCAGTGCAGCCCAGGACCCGCCTACGGGGGTCGCTCGTCCCAGAACTTCAACCATATTTTGTAGGACAGGTTGCCTTCTCTACTATAAGGCAAAAAACATGTCAAAAACAACTTTGAACCCCCCCCCGCCAGGTTAACAAATTTTTTTTAATAGAAAATAAGATTTCTGGCCACAAGACTGAGCAGGTATTACCTCCCCCCAGTCTTCCTGCTCTGAAGACAACTAAACCCCCTGGACATTGTACAGAAAACAAACACCAGATGACTGAAAGGCGGACAGAAGAAAGCAGGCTGGCTGGGGCCCCAAACACCCAATACGGCTTCAGACTTCCCAGATCTGGAGCCGAAAAAGCGGCCACCAAAGGATAGAGAATGCCCACCCTAACGCCAAGCGCTGATCTCTGGCCACAGGGCGGGAAAGGGCAGACCTGCGAGACAAAAAACGTGCAGACAAAACTGCGCTCCAGCCAAACACCACAGAACAGCCTGTGGCCCAGCCCCCCAAAGCCAGCAAGGTCGTCAGGAAGGCGGGGACTCCCACCCCCGCCAGGCGGAACGGCAGCGTCAGCGGAGGCCACGTGGGAGCAGTGAGGCGCCCCCAGCCCCACCCCGGGTAGGGAGGGGCCCAGACCCCGCCCCCCCCCCCGCCTCCCATGGCCACACAGGCTGGCGGGGAACCAGGGCTTTGACTGAGGAGGCCCCTCGTCTGCAGAGCAGCGCCAGCCAGGCGAGACAAAATGTTTACTAACATCCGGAGTCTCGTGACACAGTGCCGGGATGTCCAGTTTCCAACAGAGAATCACTAGTCACACCAGAAGGACCTCAAACTGAATGAAAAAGGAAAACCAGTACTTGCCAACACCAACATGACAAACACGCTAGAGGAGCTGTGACGAAATGAGAAATTATAGACATTTTTGAAACAAATGAAAAAAACAGAAAATCTCATCAAAGAAAAAGAAAGTCTAACCAAAGAAAATGTAAAGAACCAAACAGAAATTTCCTAACTGAAAACACGACGACCAAAACTAACCCCTCAGTGAACAGCCTGAACAGCAGAACAGAGAGAACAGAGGGAAGAGTCAGCTAAGTGGGAAATACAACAACAGAGATTACCCAATCTGAGCAGAAAGGAGAACAAAATAAGAGACTCAAGAAGCTGAGGGACCGTCACAAAAGCTGTGACAGCAACGACAATCAGAGCCCTGAAAGGAGTAGAAAGCCAAGCAGGGCCAAAGGAACAGCTGAAGGGACGGCGGCTGGAAGCCATCTGCAGAGGCTGAGGCAGCTGAGCAAGCCCCAAGGAGGACAGACCCAGAGATCAAGGAGACACAGCGCAGCCAAGCTCATGAAAACTGAAGAAAGGGAACAAAACCAAAAGCAGTCAGAGAAATGAACATATACGGGAAAGCAATTCAAATTGCAGCAGACTTAACAGAAACCACAGAAACTGACTAAAAGGAATTGGCACAACATTTTTCAAACGCTGCAAGAAGAGAACTGTCATGCCCAAATCTGATATCCAGTGAAAATATGCTTTAGAAATGATGGGGAAATCAGAGCATTCTAAGATGAAGGAAAAGCTTCTGCACAGCAACGGAAACCGTAAACAAGATGAAAAGACAACCCTCAGAATGTGAGAAAATATTTGCAAACGAAGCAACCCACAAGGGATTAACCTCCAAAATATATAGACAGCTCAGCAACTCAATAGCAAAAAAACAAACAACCCAATCAAAAAATGGACAGAAGATGTGAATAGACATTTCTCCAAAGAAGACATACAGATGGCCAAAAGACACACGAAAAGATGCCCAACATCGTTAATTATTAGAGAAATGCAAATCAAAACTACAATGAGGTATCACGTCACACCGGTCAAAATGACCATCCTCAAAAAATCTACAAACAATAAATGCTGGAGAGGGTGTGGAGAAAAGGGAACCCTCTAACACTGTTGGTGGGAATGTAAATTGGTACAGCCACTGTGGAGAACAGTATGGAGGTTCCTTAAAAACCTAAAAATAGAGCTACCATATGACCCAGCAATCCCACTACTGGGTATATATCCCGAGAAAACCACAATTCAAAAAGACACATGCACCCCAGTCTTCACTGCAGCACTATCTACAATAGCCAGCACATGGAAACAACCTAAATGCCCACTGACAGAAGAATGGATAAAGAAGATGTGGTGCATATATACACAATGGAATACTGCTCAGCCATAAAAAGGGATGAAATAATGCCATTTGTAACAACATGGGTGGACCTGGAGATCACCACACTACGTGAAGTAAGTCAGACAAAGAAAAACAAATATCATGTGGAATCTAAAAAAAAAAATGGTTGCCAAAGGGGAAAGGCTGGGGGAGTAAACTGGGAGTTTGGGATTAGCATATACACACTACTACATATAAAACAGATAAACAATAAGGACCTACTGTATAGCACAGGGAACTCTGCTCAATATTCTGTAATAACCTAAATGGGAAAAGAATTTTAAAAGGAACAGATACATGTATACGTAGAACTGAATCACTATGCTGTACACATGACAATAACACAACACTGTCAATCAACTATACTCCAACATAAAATAAAAATTACATTAAAAAAAAAAAAAAAAAAAAAACAGTTTCTCCAGAGACCGCCAAAGGGAAGTTCTCCAAACAGGAGAGACGGAAGAAGGAGCCTTGAGACATCGGGAAGGAAGAGCACGGTGAGCTCAAACACAGGTGAGCAGACAGACTTCCCTGCTTATCTTGAGGCATGTTCGACAGCTGAAGCAAAAGTGGTAACACTGTCCAGTGTTAGATTTGTCCTCAAGAAAACTACTTTACCAGAGCCTAACCTACTGGAGTTTTATCGGAGTCCAATCAGCTTAGGGGAAGGGAAATGACACCCAACTCCAGTGAACTCTACACTCCTGTCCCACCTCAGGGGCAGAAGACCCGAGAAGCACCTGTGAAGTTCACAGGCCAGGGACACGCGCTCCCTGGAAGACTGAGACCTGCTCACACAGCCAGAGCACTCCCCTCCACACACCTGCCACCACAGCACTGAAGGCCTATCTGCAGCAGCTCCAGGGCCCAGTGCAGCACGTCCAGGTAGCAAGGAAGACACTAGGCACACAAAAGGCAAAGCACAGTTTGAAAAGCCAGAGCAAGCAACAGAATCAGACCCGAATACGGTAGGAATGCTGGAATAATCAGCCTGGGAATTTGAAACAACTATGATTAACATGCCAAGAGCTCTAATGGAAAAAGGAGACAACACAAAAGAACAGATGGATAAAATAGGCAGAGAGATGAAATTCTGAGAAAGAACCAAAAGGAACACTAGAGATGAAAACCACTGAGAATGGAGAAGAGCTTTGCTGGGCTCATTAGTGGAATCTACGGGGCTCCAGAAACAACCTCTGAGCTTGATGATACCTTCTACAGAAACTTCAGAAACTAAAAAGCAAAGAGAGGGACTTCCCTGGTGGCGCAGTGGTTGAGAATCTGCCTGCCAATGCAGGGGACACAGGTTCGAGCCCTGGTCCGGGAAGATCCCACATGCTGCGGAGCAACTAAGCCCGTGTGCCACAACTACTGAGCCTGTGCTCTAGAGCCCGCGAGCCACAACTACTGAGCCCGTGTGCCACAACTACAGAAGCTCACGCGCCCAGAGCCTGTGCTCCGCAATGAGAGAAGCCACCGCAATGAGAAGCCCGTGCACCGCAACGAAGAGCAGACACTGCTCACCGCAACTAGAGAAAGCGCGTGCAGCAACTAAGACTCAACGCAGCCACCCCTGCCAAAAAAAAAAAAAGCAAAGAGAAAAAAAAAAAGACTGAAGAAATGGAACAGACTATACAAAAATTATGGGACAACTACAAAAGGTGTGACATACAGGTAAGGGGAATACCAGAAGGAAAAGAGAAAAAGAAACAGAATACTTGAAGCAATAATGACTTGAGAATCTCCCTCAAATTAATGTCAGAAACAAAAACACAGAACCAGGAAGCTCAGAGAACACCAACTAGGATAAGTAGCAAAAGAAAAAATAAAACAAAACACTACACCAAAGTGTAACATAAACTACAGAAAATAAAAGCTAGGGACTTCCCTGGTGATGCAGTGGTTAAGACTCTGCACTTCCACCGCAGGGGGCACAGATTCAATCCCAGGTGGGGGAAGTAAGATCCCGCATGTCGCGCAGCTGGAAAAAAGAAAGAAAAGAAAAGCTAATGAAAAGAATCCTAATAGAAGCCAGAGGAGAAAACAGCTCACCTATAGCAGAGCAAAGATAAGAATTACATCGAGGTTCTCTTCAAAAACCACATAAGCACGAAGAGAGCAGAAGGAAATATTTAAACTGTTGAGGGAAAAAACCCCGCCAACTTAGAATTCTATATACTGCAAAATTATCCACCAGAAATGAAGCGGAAATAAAGATTTTCTCAGATCAACAAAAACTGAAGGAATTTGTTACCAGTAGACCTGTCTTGCAAGAAATACTAACAAAAATTCTTTAGAGAGAAGGAGATTATATATCTTGGGAAACTTGGATGTACATAAAGTAAGAGCATTAGGGAAGGAAGAAGTGCAGGTAAAATAAAAACACTTATTTTTCTTATTCTTAATTGGTCTAACAGATAAGAGTTTGTTGAAAATAATAGCAACAATGTATTTGATTATGTATGCATGTGTGTGTTTATATGTGCATGTGTGTATAACATATATACATACGTGTGTGTGCTTATGTATAGGGGTAATGAATGACAGCAATGATACAAAGGAATAAAACACAGAAGGAAAGAATTAGGAATATTTTGTTCTAATAAGGTACTCAACCACTAAAAAAAGTTAAAAAAGTAGTACAATTGACATGCTAAAAAGGATGGAAAGTAGACTATCATATGTCCAGTTAAAGCCACAAAAGAAAGGAAAAGAGTAGAAGAACAAAGAACAATGTCAACAAACAGAAAACTGACACCTTGGGTAAATATTAACCGAACAGTATCAATAATCACTCTAAATAACAACAGTCAAAACACACCAAATACAAGAGACTGTAACAGAAGATCCCTATACACTGTGTACAAGAAACCCACTTGAAATCTAAAGACACATACAGATTAAAAGTATTCAACAAATGGATAAAGAAAGATACACCATGCTGACAGTAATCACAAGGAAGCTGAACAGCTTTGAGATCTTACTTTCAGACAAAACAGGCTTCGGAGCAGGGAAAGCTACCAGAGACAGGAGGGGCATCACATAGTGGTGAATGGGTCAATTCTCCAAGAGGGTGTAACAACACCTTGGGCACGGTGATCACTTTTTAGATACAACACCAAAGGCACGATCCGTGACAAATAACTGATAGGCTGGACTTATGCAAAAGTGTGTGCAAAAGACACATCTGATACAAGACTGTTATCCAAATATACAAAGAATTCTAAAAACTCAGCAATAAGAGAATACACAACCCAATCAGGAAGTGCACAAAGGACCTGGACACCCCACCAAAGAAGATGTACAGACGTCAGGCAAACATAAGATGCTCCACATCATACGTCATCAGGGAGACGCAAATTAAAACCACGCGAGATACTGCTACACACTATTAGAAGGGCCAAAACCCAGAACACAAACAACACTGAGTGCCGGCGAGGATGCGAAGCAACAGGAACCCTCATCACTGCTGGTGGGAATGCAGAATAGCGCAGCCACTTTGGAAGACAGCTTGTAGCTGCTTAAAACAAAAAAAAGAGTATATTCTTACCATACTATCCAATAATCATGCTCCTTGATATTTACCCAAAGGAGTTGAAAACTTATATCCACACAGAAACCTGCACATGGATGTGACAGCAACTTTATTCATAATTGCCAAAACTTGGAAGCAACCAACATATCTGTCAGTAGGTGATGGACAGATAAACTGTGGTCTATCCAAGCAATGGGATATTATTCAGGGCTAAAAAGAAAAGGGTTATCAAGCCATGAAAAGACAGGGAGGAGCCTTAAACACATATGACTAGGTGAAAGAAGCCAATCTGAAAAGGGTAAACACTGGATGGTTCCAGCTCTATGACATTCTGGAAAAGGCAAAACCCTGCAGACAGTAAATGGACTGGTGGTTTCCAGGAGTCAGGGGTTGGGGGAAGGCAAGAATAGGCACAACACAGAGGATTTTTAGGGCAAACGATTTTTTGTATCAAATTATTCTGTACAATGACGGTTACATGCCCTGATACATCTGTCAAAACCCAGAGAACGTACAACACCGAGACTGACCCTGATGTGAACCTCACACTGTGGGTGATGATGACGTGCACGTGCAGGACCATCGACTGTGACAAAGGTCCCATCTGGTGGGACGCTGGTAGTGAGGAGGCTGTGCACGTGTGGGGCAGGGGTTTACGGAAACTCTCTGTGCTCCATTTCGCTGTGAACCTAAATTCGCTCTAAAAAATAAAGTCTATATATTAAAAAAGCAACATAAGAAACCTTCGTGGTGATGAAACTGTTCTGTTACCTTGACTATAGCCATGTCAGTATCATGGTTGTGGTACTGCAACTAGTTTTGGAGTATGTCACCTCTGCGGGAATGGAAACAAGTGATCGCTCTATTATTTCTTATGAATACAAGTGAATCTACAACTATCTCAAAATAAAAAGCTTAATTTTTAGAAAAGTACTTGCAATTAGACAATTGTTAAAACTAAAATGTTAAAAACCTATCAGTAAATGTTGACCAAACGAACGGGAGAGTGGCAAGAATGCTACTTTTCACTAGAAAGTGGGTGCAGGCTGGCAGTGCACACAGAGTGGTGCTGGGTGGTGATCTGAAGACAAGAACAGAGTACAAATTATCTGAAGAAAAATGAGAAGACTCTTCTGGAAGGAAGATAAAACAAAGCTTCACTCAATTCTGTGAGTCTAGCCTTTTGCGGCTGAAAGCAAGCATTCAGCCAACCTTTCTCAGAAACCATCACATGAACAGCAAAGTCAACAGCGACATTAACCGACCAGATAATTTATATAACTTTGGTGAGACACACAGTTAAGGTAACTGTGTGTATATTATGTATGTGCTTGCACGTGTGCGCGCACACACATGCTCACGTACTCACTCATGTGCGCCACGAATATTTAGGAAATCCTCAGAAAGCCATTTTCCCTAAACCTCAGCCATCCCACTACTTAACCACCAGTCCTGCACTCAGCAGGTTAGCCGTGTGCTTCCTGAGCTCCACAGGACCAAGAGTAAGCTACCCGAGCACTAATCTGTTGTTCTCCATTTTTAACCAAATGAAAGCTGTAACAGCATTTATCAGTACTAACTGGGAAAGTAACATTTTACAAACCTACTACAACTCATAGCACAATTGGTTATATATGCACGTCATATTTGGATTAAATAACCCTTACATGAGCTGGTAACACCTAGCCTTCATTTTATAAGATGCTGGAATAATTTTCCCTCTTTGATTAGGTTATCCTAATAATCACTGTTCCATTTAGCTAGTGTGTGTTTACCGGCATAAAGACAAAAAACCAATTTCTGTTACCTTCAGAAGAATATGAAAAACTATAAAATAAATAATGAGGCGGGGGGGGAGCAGTTGGTTTCAACAATAACCTAACACAGTGAAACTCCTTATTACACAATTCTGAAACTCAAAAACAATGTTACACCCTGAATCCGATCTACAGCATTGAGAAATAGGATAGTAAAAGGGGAAAGAAGAGAAAGTGGTGAACAAAGCAAGGGAGGTGAGGAAAAGTCCCAAAGCAGAACAGGACGTGTGGGGAAAGCTGTGAGACAGTAAGATCAAGAGCAAAAGGGTTTTACTTGCAGACAGACTCCCGTTCACCAATGACCTGTGTTCCCGCATCGAGCTGCCTTAGAGACCAATATATAAACTTTACAAAAGGCTCGTGAAGCTTGGCATTCACAAAAGGCATCCACTGTAGCTGCTCTGTCATCACAGGCAAAAGCTAAAGATAAAATGATGGAAAATACAAACACACACTATTTTTAGAAGCCTGAAATCAATTACCACAATTTTCCAAAAATGATCTTTTTCCAAAAGAAGAAAAAGAATTCTCTAACAAAAAATCTTCACTTTAAAACCGTATGTAACACAATAAGGAAATATGTGTTTGAAACATTACATATCTATTCCCTTGACCCAGCAATGGCACATCTAGGATTTTAAGATTAACCTATAAAAACACACTCTGAATCTTAAATGGTTAAATAAACTTATGGTGCATATATAACCATTAAAAATGATAATGGCATCTATATTTATTGCCATGGCATATTCTGAGGTTATAAAAGCAGGTTACAAAAAGTGTAATAAGATTCCACTTACATAAAATATGTCTGTATGAATTTATATTGAAAAAGAGATAAGATATTTTTTAGAAATATTAACAGTGAGATTTCAGTAACTGGAGTGATATTTACTTTCCTCTTTATATGTCTGTCTTTCATAAATATCTTAATTAATGTCAACTTATAAAAATAATGCAAATCTTTAAAAAAGGTATTTATGAACGCTGCTTCAACAGTATGTCATTTTGCTGAAAGATTAAGACCATAGCGGTACATTCTAGTTCTGTGAAAAATGCCAGTGGTAGTTTGATAGGGATTGCATTGAATCTGTAGATTGCTTTGGGTAGTAGAGTCATTCTCACAATGTTGATTCTTCCAATCCAAGAACATGGTATATCTCTCCATCTGTTTGTATCATCTTTAATTTATTTCATCAGTCTTACAATTTTCTGCGTACAGGTCTTTTGTCTCCTTAGGTAGGTTTATTCCTACGTATTTTATTCTTCTTGTTGCAATGGTAAATGGGAGTGTTTCCTTAATTTCTCTTTCAGATTTTTCATCATTAGTGTATAGGAATGCTAGAGATTTCTGTGCATTAATTTTGTGTCCTGCTACTTTACCAAATTCGTTGATTAGCTCTAGTAGTTTTCTGGTGGCATCTTCAGGATTCTCTATGTATATAGTATCATGTCATCTGCAAACAGTGACAGCTTTACTTCTTCTTTTCCGATTTGGATTCCTTTTTTTTCTTTTCCTTCTCTGATTGCTGTGGCTAAAACTTCCAAAACTATGTTGAATAACAGTGGTGAGAGTGGGGAACCTCGTCTTGTTCCTGATCTTAGTGGAAATGGTTTCAGTTTTTCACCATTGAGGACGATGCTGGCTGTGGGTTTGTCATATATGGCCTTTATTATGTTGAGGAAAGTTCCCCCTATGCCTACTTTCTGCAGGGTTTTTAAACTGAGTTATTTGTAGTGAGGTTGATGGACCTAGAGTCTGTCATACAGAGTGAAGTAAGTCAGAAAGAGAAAGACAAATACCACAGGCTAACACATATATATGGAATCTAAGGGGGAAAAAATGTCATGAAGGACCTAGGGTAAGACGGGAATAAAGACACAGACCTACTAGAGAATAGACTTGAGGATATGGGGAGGGGGAAGGGTAAGCTGTGACAAAGTGAGAGAGTGGCATGGACATATATACACTACCAAACGTAAAACAGGTAGCTAGTGGGAAGCAGCTGCATAGCACAGGGAGATCAGCTCGGTGCTTTGTGACCACCTAGAGGGGTGGGATAGGGAGGGTGGGAGGGAGGGAGACGCAAGAGGGAAGAGATATGGGAACATATGTATACGTATAACTGAGTCACTCTGTTATAAAGCAGAAACTAGCACACCACTGTAAAGCAATTATACTCCAATAAAGATGTAAAAAAAACATGGCAAGAAAAGAATGTTTGAAAAAAATTAATAAAAGCTAGGATATAGAACCATATGTAATTGGACCCCAGATGTGATAAATAAGGTATAAAGATAAACCTCTGAGTCTGGAAGGACATATATGACCTACGCACTCCTCCGGAAACACCCCACCCTGGCTTCTGTGTCACCGACTTCTCCCGCGACACCCAGCTCTCCCCTACTTCTCGCGCCACTACCATTCTCTCCTGCTGGCTGGTCCTCATTCACCTGACCATTAAATACCGGAGTTCCTCGACTCAGCGCTAGCCAGTCCGGACTCACAACCCCCACGTCCACACGCCCAGCTCAGGCCTCTCCGCAGAGCCCCAGCCCCCAGAGCCACACCTACACCCACACCCACACCCACACACGCACTCCAGTGTCTGCAACTCAACTCGTCTAAAACTACCTTACCAACAGTGGAAGCTCAAACCCAGATCTCGTGTAGTATTTCCTACTTGCAGTGAACGCGACCAACGTTCATCCCGGTGCAAAGTCAGGAGCCTGGGTGCCAACCCTGAGAGCCCACCTTTTATACGGGATCCATCACCAGTCTCGTCAATCTTCCCCCCTAAACATTCTCTAGATGGCCCATTTCCAGCTCACAGCCACACTGTCCTTCCCCTGAACCACCTGCGTTTCCTAAGTGTCCTCCAGACCCACTCTTGCATCTCTTCGACCCTCTTGCCGCATCACAGAAGACACGACCCTTTCAAAGCATAAACCTGAAGCTATTTTCTCCTGAAAGCTCTTCATTAATTTCCTCCTAGTCTTAGTTATTTTCTAGAATGAAATTTCAAGCAAAACTGAAAACTTACAGACACCCGAAATTGAGTACTTTTGTGGATGAACAGAATTTGATAACCACCTACTCTGTTAAGGTCATAATCACAGGAACATTTTGTATTCTTAATTCCACCACCCTTAAATTACAGTATTTAAAACTGGTAAGGAAGGAAAGTCTTCCGTTGCAGAGAGAAATCTTTCAACTGGGACCACACATAGGTATACAAGATAAAGTACACAGAACTATGTATAAAGTGCTTCTGTCACAAACAAGGTACATAACACGAGGAAGCACGCAGGAAAATCAGAAGTGTGAGATATTCAGTAAGTTCACCAGGTTACCAGCATGAAGCTGGGGAGGGGAAGCGAGGGGAGGGGGAGGAGGCAGGCGGAGTGTCCCAGGTCTAAGGACCCAGGGGACGCCAGGAGCAAGAGCGCCTCCTGCGGACCTGGTGTCTTTCCCGCCTTTCACGGCGGCGGTGGTGAATTTGCTGGTAATCGTTTTAGTGAGATATAATTCACACACCATACGAGTCACCCATGTAAAGGGTACAACTCAGTGATTTTCAGTATATTCAGCGAGCTGTGAAACCATCGTGAGAATCCGTTTGAGAACATTTCCATCACCCTCCCCCCCAAGAACCCCAACCGTTAGCAGGCATCTCACATCCTGTCCTCACAACCACTCGGCTACTTTCTCTACACTGATTTACACGGTTCCAGGATTTTCATATAAATGGAATCACACAATATGTGGTCTTTTGTGACTTGCTTCTTTCACTTCCAATATTTTCAAAGTTCACTCACGCTGTAGTATGCATGGATACATCATCCTCTTTTACCACCAAATTATATTCCACAATCTACATACACCATTTTACTGAGCCATCTGTCAGCTGATGGGCATCTGGGTTGTCTCCACGTGTTGGCTATCGTGCGTCATGTTGCCATGAACATTCACGTATGAATCTATGTGCGCACACGTCTGCCTTTCTCTTGAGTACACACCTCAGAGTGGAACAGCTGACTCGTCTGGTAAATCCACGTTTCATCTTCTCAGGAACTGCCAGGCTATTTTCCGAAGTTCCTACTACACCTTTTCACATCTTCACCAGCAGCGCACGAGAGTTCCGATTTCTTCACATCTTGGTCAATGCTTGAGATTCTCTGGCTTTTTTACTTTAGCCATCCCAGGGGGTGTGAAGTGACAAAACAAAGTGACTCGGATTTGCATTCCCCAAATTACTAACGTTGCTGAGCATCGTCGGACACGCTTATCGACCACTTGGGTGAGTGTTAGAGAACCGTCTGTTCAGATGCACTGAGCATTTTCAATTAGGCTGTCTTTAATTACTAAGTTGTAAGGTGTTTTTGTTTAAATACTCAAGATGGAAGTCCCTTATCAGATCTGATTTGAAAAATATTTTTTCCATTCATTGGGTTGCCTTTGACTCTCAAGATAGTATAGTTTGAAGCATAAAAGTTTAAAAAAATGTTTTGACTCAAACTTCACTTTTTTTTTTTTTTTTTTTTTTGCGGTATGCGGGCCTCTCACTGTTGTGGCCTCTCCCATTGCGGAGCACAGGCTCCGGACGCGCAGGCTCAGCGGCCATGGCTCACGGGCCCAGCCGCTCCGTGGCATGTGGGATCTTCCCGGACCGGGGCACGAACCCGTGTCCCCCGCATTGGCAGGCGGACTCTCAACCACTGCGCCACCAGGGAAGCCCCCTCTTCCTCATCTTCAAAGCCACTGAGGATGCGAGGATGCACTGAGTGTCTCACCTACTCTTCTGCCTCTTTCGTCTGGCCTGAAGTGCGCACGTGATGACTGGACCCACCCAGATCATCCTGATTAATCTCTGCTCCAGGGTCAGCTGATTAGTAACCTTAACTTACTTTTTCCTTGTAAACGTGACACACTGACAGGTTCCAGGGCTTAGGTTATGAACGTCTCCGGGGCCATTATCCTGCCTAGCACAAAAAGCATTTAGAAGAAACTTTTTAGGTAAGGATGAAAACCGGAAATAATTTCCTCAAATGAAACCCTGGCCTGTATTTATTAATTCGTTAAACCAAACAAACAACTTTAGATATCCACTCTTCAGGGTTCTAATGTATTTCTTGTAGAATGCAACCGTCAACCTCTAACGACAATTTATACTGACTGAAAATCCTGAGTATCAACATCCAAATTAATGTCTGTAATTTAAGAAAATGGTCATTGCTCTTTGTTAATGAGAAGCCCCTTGAAAATACTATTTAACCCTTCATGACAAAAGGCAAAATAAAATTATTTTAGTGGGATTTGGATCCTAAAATGATGTGTATCAGGAATTGTTCCTATCACTGATTATCTGCCTAACTCTGATACACAACTATTTTGCCATTTTTGGAGTAGGTTTTCAATTTCTGGTCTGCCTTTAAAAAGAAATTCCCATCATGTTACAAAAAATATAAGTATGAATTAATTTGAATTAAGTCTGAAATGAATCTTTTTAGAACTGACTATTGGTATAATCAACTTTCTATCAAAAATACTTTCAATATTTTTTCTCTTGTAAAATGTACCACTTTTTCAATTTTCGTGTCTACTGAGTCATATATTTCAAATTAAAAAACAAACCTTCACACACTTCTGAATATCATTTCTCTGAGAAGCAAATGTGGGTAGTGCCTTTTCACCATCCATTCTAGATTCTTCATGTTTCAATTTGCTAAGGTGATGATCCGAAATCCAGTCCATGAAGACAGTTAAAAGTTCATAAGCTTGTCCATTAAGTGGTACCTATATGCAAAAAAACTAAATCAAGCACTTCTTTCAATTCACAGCCTCCTAAAACTTCAAAGGCAAGTTTTAAATTTGGTAGGTGATTATGGCATCATTTATCTAAAACACTAAAACATGTATTGGATGACAAATCTTCTACAAATGAAAGAAATTCCAAATCAAATCTCTCTAATTAATATTAGAAACATGTTAAATGCTGGTTGACAGAAGGGGAGAAACCCACCATAACAAGGAAATTGAAAGAACTGCACCTTGTAACCAAAAGAGAGAATTTTCATTAAAATTCTTTACCCAAGTTTGATAATGGAGAAGAGTAAAATTGGCCTTAACTCAAGAGCATGAGCCACCATAACTAATAGATTTTAACAAATTTAAAGGTCTCAAAAGCTAAACCATTTCCACCATGAAACTTCATATCTTCTTTTTCCTTTACACCGTAACATTCTACAAATAGGGTATGAAAATGTTTCCTGGAAATCCTGTTCTCTGAGAGTCCACCAAAATGGGAGGAAAACAAGAGCAAACTGCCATAAGAAACTATAAATTCAACTAAGCTGATTTCCATGTTCCTTCAAATCACTTTCAGTCACTTCAATTCAACATTTATCACACATGTTCCTTCAACGGGAGCTACGCTAGATTTAATTTTAGACAGAGAAATACAAAAGCAAATTAATAAAAGGCAAAATTAAGCAGACAGCGATCCACAAAAACAGAATCAGATGAATGAAAACAAAGTTATACTATTCTGACCAAGAGTCACTTTTAACCTTCTCAATTTTCCTCAGATAGGAACTTTTGATGAAAACTGCAATCATCTTGACTAACCTGAGTATAAATCTCCACTTTTTCCAATTTACTTTATTATTTGTTTTTAATTAAAAAATGTTTTTCATGGGACTTCCCTGGTGGTGCAGTGGTTGGGAATCTGCCTGCCAATGCAGGGGACACGGGTTTGAGCCCTGGTCTGGGAAGATCCTACATGCCGCGGAACAACTAAGCCTGTGCGCCACAACTACTGAGCCTGCGTGCCACAACTACTGAAGCCTGCATGCCTAGAGCCTGTGCTCCGCAACAACAGAAGCCACTGCAGTGAGAAGCCTGCGCTCCGCAACAAAGAGTAGCCCCTGCTCGCCGCAACTAGAGAAAGCCCGCGCGCAGCAACAAAGACCCAATGCAGCCAAAAATAAAATAAACTAATTAATTAAAAAAAAAATTTCTTTTTCACAGCCAGCATCCATGACAGGAAAAAGGAGGCGGGGGAGTTAAATAGGATCTTTTCCAACCACTAAACCCTCTGTGCACAGCCGGGGCCTGGTAGAGGTGAGGGCAGGCGGGGCGGCCACAGGCTAGGGCAGCACAATGTGGGGCCCAGGAGGGGTCCCTGCAGGTCAGAAGGGGGCCCTGGGACTGGAGCCCCCGGGAGAGCCATGCGGCCGGTGCTGCCACCCTTGCTGTGATTGCTGTGCTCCTCCTGGACGAGACGCAGAGGCCGGGCCAGCGATGCTGTGGGCTTGGCTCCCTATCCGCCCCACGTTGACAGCCCGCCCCGAGCTGACCTCCCACCGCAGGTGCCGGAGGGGACACAGGCCGGGTCCTCTGTGCTCTCGGCAGCACGGCCCAGAGCCGCGGCACCTCCCTGCTGACACCCTGCAGCACCGCCAAGCGAGGGCCCCGAGAGCTTGGCACAAGCAGCTCCCCCAGGCCTGGCCCTGTGGACGGACGAGGTCCCCGGCCTTCCGTCAATGAGGTCCCGTGCATGGACCCCTGCGCAGGGCTGGGAGCGCGGCGGCTCCTGCTTGATCCGCGCCGGCCCGTCACAGGCCAGACGTTGCCCGTCCCACGGCAGCTCCTGCCTCTGCTGCTGGGGCTCCCGTTGCCATCCTTAAACAAGGCCATCCGCCCAGTTCACTTTATGAAAAACTACAGCATTTATCAAAACCACTGAAGCCCAGTGAGGTATCACTACCCACCCACTGGAAAGGTCAAAATAAAAAAGACTGAAAACACCAAATGTTTTTTGGTGCCATAAAACCTGACAGCAAACTTTTTAGCCAAGTTGTCATACACACATTGCTAGCAGGAGTATGAATGGTACAACCACTTTGGAAAACTGGCAGCTGCCCCCCAAATTAAATATACCTCTACCTTATGACCCAGAAATTCCAGTCTTGGCTATATTTCCAAGAGGAATGAAAATACATGTCCCCAAAAAGCCTTATACATGAATATTCTTAGCAGCTAAACGTTCTGTTTTTGCAAACAAAAGCATATCTGAAATATTATAGCAATACTTTTCTACAAGGAAATTATCACAGTGAATCCTTTCACACTAAGAAGAATGTTTGCTAAAGGGAAAAAAAAATAAGGAAGAGAAAAATGTCCTGGTTTTCCAATGGAGAAATCATATCATACCTTGTGAGGTTTTGAAACTGGTACTTTTTCCTGTTTTAAACTTTTTGCTTCGTGAGCGGCGTGGGGATTTCCTTTCAATCTCTGTATTGTCATAAACTCATACTTCCTCTGTGACAGTACATCTCTGTGAATTAAAAGAAAATTATATTAAAAGTGAGAAAGTCCAAAGGCAGTCATTTTAAATTTCACTTGTGTCTCAAGAGAAGAGCAGGTACCTTACCTGTAAATTATCTAAACGAGCTTGAACTCTCTTAGCCTGAACCTCCAACTTCCTGTTTTCTTCACTTACTTCATTTAACTAAGGTAGGAAAACATTAGATATTTCAATAGAAACCTCAAGCCGATTTCCTACTGAAGTTTTCCCAGTGTACCATCTTATCTAGTCTGTGTTACCAAGCAACATAACGTAACAGACAGAAGTAGCGTCCATGATTAAAGATCACAGCTAAAACCACCATTTGGTCCTAAAACATTAAGAGTTTCCAAGAAAGTTTACTTCATTCTATGAAAAATGTGCAAGTCTCCTAACATCTTACACGTATACATTTTAATAGGAAACGTCTTTTAGTTGAACTTTTTATTGAAGTATAATGTATGTACAGAAAAGTGTACCAATCATTAAATATCACCATAACGAATTACTGCGATTGGAGTAAATGTATCTGTTAATTTAGGAAAACTGACATCTTTACCATATTGAGTCTTCTCATCCCTGAACATAACATAGCCTTCAACTTATTTTGGTCCTCTTTAGTTGCTTTTAATTAACATTTTGCACTCCTCAGTATGCACGTTTTATACATGTATAATCTTTCTTTAGATTTATTCCTGGATAGCCAACGCTTTTTGATGCTACTACCCATAGTATCTTTCAATAAACATTCACTACCTGATTATTGTTGATATACAGAAATACACTTGATATTTTATATACTGAACTTATACCCAAAGATTCTCCTAAATTTGTTTAATAACTTGTCTGTATGCTCACTTGGTTACTTACTACATCTGTGCATAATCATGTCATCGGAGGATAATTCTTATTTCTTCCTTCCCGACCCTGACTTTCCTCTCCTCACTGCACTGACCAGGACTTCAGCACAAAGTTCAACAAAACAGTAACAGTGAGCACCTTTATCTTGTTCTGATCTCAAGGGAAAAGATTTCAATAACTTACATAAAGTGTGATTCAGAAGTTGGTTTTTTTTTTTTTTTTTTTGTAGGTACTCTATGAGAATTAAGTTCTCTTCTATTACTAGTTATTATCTTTGGGCTCGTGCTGAATTTTAAATCAAGGAATTATACGATTTTTCTCCTTTTATCAGATGATGTGTTAATTTTCAAATGATAAATGACCCTGTATTCCTGGACCAAGTCCATTGAGTTGTACTATACTTTTTGTGTACTTCTGGATTCAATTTGCTGATATTAAAAATTTTTGCATCTGTACTCATGGGAGACTGGCTTGCATTTTTTTTTTTCTTGTAATGTTCTTGACAGGTTTCGTTTCAAGGTTATGCTGGCCTCATACAACAAAAAAGGGAGCATTTCTCTTTTTCTGTTTATGTAAATAAGGTACATGATATTTCCTCCTTAAAAGTTAGCCAAAAGTTAGCCAAAAGTTAGTTACTGCTCCTTCTTTGAAGGTAAGGTGTCTTATTTTTCTCTGATTTTATCTTTATCTAAAATCTTCGTGTCTTAAAATAGCGTGCCTATATGGTTTTCCTCAATATTTACCCTGCTTAGGGTTAACAGAATTTCTTAGAATCTACAGGTTGGCATCTTTCACCAGTTTTGGACATCACCTCTTCACATATTACATTTTTGCCTTATTAACTACTTTTGGAACTCCCGTGTTAAACTTCTTCATTATGTCCCACATGCCTCTCTTGTGAATTTTCCAACCTTTCCCCACTCCTATCAATAGGTTCAAACTCGTAATAATGCACACTTCCCGTCTCCACACACTCATCAAACACACGCAAGATTATCAAGGGTTATATCCACCTAAGAGACAGGTATGGGCAACAATGCACCTATACTAGCAGTTAAAGAAACCCTTCTCAAAAAAGAGTGCTCGCCTGAGACTGTGATGGGAAAAGGCAGTCTCTCCAGGATAAGGAGGCTTCCAGACAACAGTGAGTCAAGTTCACACGCTAATTGTGGGAGGTCAGACCTGATTCAGAGAAGCCAGGTCATCAGGTGAAGTGAGAAATGGGGGACCTAGTTGTCACTGCCAAGGGGAAAGGTCGTAACAAGTAGTGAAGAGCACACAGCTAGCCAAGGGATTCCAGGAGCCCAGTTCTCTCTCAGAGTACGAGCTCACCAACATGTTGGAACCCACGAAGTTCCCCAGCCCAAGGCCTTAACCACTAAAGTGACGAGCTTCACCTGCTTCTGCTCATCTATGCGTCCCTCCCCACGAACACACACAATCACTCTCCTGTCCCTCTTCCACAGAGCCCGTCACTTTCACGTCTTTCAGGCAAAAACTGGCAAAGGGAAGTGAAAAAAAAAAGTACAACTCCTAAGAATTTGGTGCAACTTGAGTATTATTAAGCACGGAGCTAAACCACAGTACTTACAAACGTAAGGGTAGTGCACCGTGACACAGTGGGCGTGAGCTCACACTCCACTTACACACGTAAGGGCAGCGCACCGTGACACAGTGGGCATGAGCTCACACTCCCCAGCACAGGATCAACACATCACAGACACTCCAAAAACAAAGAGTGGTGTGTAGCAGCAGGTGCAAGAACAGCACAAAGCTACAAACCAGCGCCTAAAGTACCCAGGTTAGCAGCTTTTCTTTTGCTTGTTTTTAATCTCGTCATTGCTCTTAATAGTTTAAAAAATTTCAAGTTGTCAAACGTCTCAGCTGGTTGTCAGAATAGATGATGAGAAACCAAAAGCTTAATAATACTTTATTTATGTTTGGAAGTATCTTATAATAAAGGTAACAAATAAAGGTAATCAAGGTTTTCTCTAGCCAGAATATGTTCTAAGATTTTGACCTACAATTTGTTAATCTATATAGTTCTAAGAATGTCTTAGAATCTAATATAGATAAAATAGGTCTTACCTGTTTTTTTAAGCTATCATTCAATTCTTTCAATGCATCAAAAGAGGACCTTAGCCTCCTGCTTTCTTTATTTCTTTCCTTAAGAACTTCAGTTAAGTGCTCAACTTCTGCATCATGTTGCTAGGAGGGAAAAAGTACAGATTCTACGTCACTAATGCCACTGAACATAAATTAATTAAAAATTAAAACTCCTTGAATCACATGGACTTTAATCAGTGTATTTAAGCATAACGACTAATAATGCAAATGATTTATAAAAGCTGTATAATCAACCAAACTAATAACAAAGCATTAAAAGCATATGTTAAATACCTATTAAAACATATTACACAAATTAATTAGCAATAAGGCTACTTTCTGTTTCTGCTCAGAAAAATCCACAACAGAAACACACTGAAATAATTTCTATTTGACATCATGGAATGATAAAACAATGAAGGATTTCTGATCCTTTTCAGAGACTAGCTATTCATAGCTTTGTGAATTAAAATTTAAGGTTTAAATTACCCTTGTGGAGTAGAAGTAATATTCCACAGACAGAACAAACTAATTTCTTGTTCTCATAAATTAGCTAAAATTGTACATCTCAAGAAACTTAAATACATAATAAAATTTCCTGAGCCCCAAACTATTCGACTTTCCTTAACCAGTTTTATAAATGATTAAAATCAATTTCCCCTCTAATTCCATTTAAATGAGAGCACTTTTAGATTTAAATTGTGAATACTTATATAGTTTCTTTCACCTTTTACTCTCAAATTTATGCGTAATGTATTAAAACAAGCAAGTTTCCACAGGAAATCAAGAAACTGAGTTAATTTCCTTCTTTCAAGTAATCATCTAGTTCCCATTAAAATAAAGCCGTTAGCTTTATACTTATTACAAGTAGCATACAAATCCAAAGAGAAAAATATCAAGGCTAAAACTGGGATGGAGAGCGCTGAGAATCCATTCATTCTTTTGCCCTGTTTAAAAATCCAAGCTTGTGAAAAAAATTAGCTTTATGCAACTTTATTATTACATTAAATGACTCCTTAAATAACTTAGGATATGGTCACATATACTATATGTATTTTAAAAATTAGATTAACATTCTCACTGTACAAATCTTCCACCTCCAGAAGAGATTAAAAATGTATGACGTGGGTTCCATTTCCGGATAAGCCCCAGTGCACTCTTGCCTCTCTTACCGATTACAACTAATTACAACTAAAAACCGTACACAAAACACAAAAAAGCAACTACATAAGGAATGTCAAAGGGAAACAAAAGCAGGGAATAGTAGAAAGGAGGGAAAACCTGGAGAAGAAACCATCAAGGGGCTGAAGTTTCCTGGGTTTCGTTTTCCCTTGCAGTCTTGCCCCAGGGCAGGCCCCAGACACTGCTAATTGGAGAGAAACTGCTTTTCAGGGCTGGGAAACCAGGAAGAGGGGACCCCAGGAGCCAAGGAATGTGCTCAAATCTGGATCAGCCCTGAGTCGGCGAAAGCAGCAGAGCAAAGGGGCAGAGACAGGAGTTCAGTTTAAAAACAGCCCCACTGTGTGTAGGCACCTTAAAGACCCAGAGCATCACAGCAAAGGCTGAGAACCCCCAGCGGTGCCTGCATGACAGGCTCCAGAGCAACAGCACAGGCTTTGGAAACCGAGCGAGGGGGGCACAGCCCACACGGTGAGAAAACACTCAGCCTCAACCCACCGGGCTCACTGCTTAAGAAATGAACACATACAACCAACATTCTCCAGAGTGTTATGAAAGGATCCAGAATCTATACAAAATTAATAATATCCAAAAGGTCCCAAAGACAATCCCAAACTCACTGCACATACAAAAAACCAGAAGAATGTGATTAGGTTTCAAGAAAAATGCCAACCCTTAGGTGATCTAGAGTGCGATTTTTAACTGAATTCCAAATGCCAATGAATGCAAATGGAAAGACAGAAATTCTCATGAGAAAAATTAAAAATAATTGGAAAATTTAGAACTTTAAAATGCCAGAAATAAAACAATTCTCTAGACAAGATCAACTGCAACATGGAAATGAAAGAAGAAACTGTGATCCCGTGATCAAATCTGAAGGGCGCACAAGAAAAGGACTGGAGAGAGGAACAGACTCAGAAACCTGCGGGGTGACAGCAAAGTGGGAGGGGGGGAGGGTGCTTGCTGGGGGGTGCGGGGAGGTGGGGGGGACGGATGGCTACGAGGAGCACGTGGGAACCCTGGGGGCCGGGACTACTCTTTTTCTTGATCACGGCGCCCATCGCGAGACTGCATGCGCTTTCAAAACAAATAGTAAATTCTCCTCTATATAAGTTGCACGTATAGTAACCCATCTCTCGATAGGAAACAAAGAACAATACCGTACAACCTACCTGACAGTCTCGATAAAAATATTTAATCTGAATATAAACATTAGGAAACAATCAGGCAAATACAGAATAAGACACACTCTTTAAGACTACAGGCCAAAAGTCTTCAAAGAAAAGCCTCAGAAAAAGCAAAAATGGTGACGTGGATTGCTCTAGATCCAGAGAAATCAATGAGATTTGCCTGCATTTTGTCTAGTTCCTTGATCAGAGAACAAAACAAAAAGCAATAAAAGACAATTTGGGGACCCACTGGGAAAGTGAGCGTGGACTGTGTATGTATTTTAAGTTAAATTATATAATTAGCATGCATTTCCTGTTCAACAGTGGTGTGGAGAACACCCCCATTCTGAGGCAATTCACAGCACGGAAGAAGGACTTAGGGTGCTGGGTCTTGATTTTTGCAACCCACCTTCAACTGGTCCAGGAAAAATGTGAGGGCGGGAAGGCTGAGCAAATGTGCAAATGCGAACGAGCAGGGAGCCCAAACCAGAGGAGGAGGGCCCTGCCCGCTAAAGTCAGCGCCACGCGCTTACCTCCTTCAAGATCTGGAACCTTGTAAGAACCTCTTCTTTGACACCTTTAAGTTTATTCAAGGCACTTTCATGTCTGAAAAGCAGCTCCTCTCTCAGCCAAAAAACGTTCTCGCTTTTGAAGCTCTTCAGCAAACTCCTGCTGTGCTGCAGTTCCACACTGTATAGAAAGGGCAGTTTAGTGTTTTTCAGAAGCACACGTAGCAGCGGTACAAGTGAGAGTCTCATTCATTGAGATGGCAGCTCAATCGAACGGTGTTCCGGACGCATGGGAACCAAGTGAGCGCAGATGCAGCAACAACCAGACCGGCATGCAGGTAACCCTGTACTTTGCAGGATCCACCAGTGAGATTCTACTGTGAGGATTCGAGGGAATTTGGGGTGCAAGCAAGGTGAGCACCGCGGAGCTCCCCGTGCCCGCTGGGATGCCCACCACCCCTCCCCTTCCCATCGCCTGGGATGCCCTCCAGCCACCTTCCCTGCCCCGAAGCCAGCTGAGCTCCCCTGGAGAAGAAAGCCTCATACCTGAAGAGGTGCTCCCGTGCGGCCCAGAAATCCTCTCCCACCTCCCCGCATTCCCCACGGTGCCTATGCAAACCTTCTCCACCCTCCACCCTGAATCCATCACCTCCTCCAGCCTCTGTGCAGGTAGCCTGGTCTCTGCCTTCATGGGGGAACAGAAGACAGCGCGAGGACGCAGCCTTACAAAGGGAGGCCAGCCTCCCACTGCCTCTGCCTCCTGGGGAGACTGCTGCCACTCAGTGCTCTATTATTTCCAACACTCCCGTCGCGCCAGAAATGAAATCTCTCTGGATCCTGCCCACTGGCCGCCCCTCCTCACAAACTTCTTTAAAATGTTGTCTACGTTTGCTGAGCCCTCTTGACATCCCAGTCACTCCTCGATGTACTGATACTTTCATCTGGCCTCAACCCACATCCCCTAATGAACCAGATGCCCAATCACCGAACCCGCAGGTCCCGCTCCAGCCCTGGTTTCACGCATCGCACACTCTGGTCCCTTCCTTCCTCGCCTCCCTGACACCACCTCCTCCGGGTCCCCTTTCCCCACCACGGGCTCTACTCCCTCCACTGCCCTTCAATTACTGCTGCTCCTCAAGACTGGGGATTAAGCTGCTTTCTTCCTCCATACTTTCTCTGCTTGGTTCCATCCACCCAGGGGCTAAAAGCACTGCGCACGCAACTCACTGTTTCCAAACTGCGGTGCTCAGCTCTTTCTCCCAAGCTCCAGACTCAAGTCCAAACTGCCTATTAACATCTCCACCTGTGTGCTTTCAGGTGGCACAAAATACTCATGTCCAAAATTGAAATCAATTAGCCATCAGGGGAATGCAAATCAGAACCACAAGACAGCACTTCACATCCACTAGGATGGCTAGAATCAAAAAGAGAAAAACTGGAACCCCTGTGCAGCACTGGTGGGATGTAAAATGGTGCAGTCGCTTTGGAAAACAGTTTGACGGGTGCTCAAAAAGTGAGACATGGGCTTCCCTGGTGGCACATGGTTGAGAGTCTGCCTGCCGATGCAGGGGACGCGGGTCCATGCCCCGGTCCAGGAGGATCCTACATGCCGCAGAGCGGCTGGGCCCGTGAGCCATGGCCGCTGAGCCTGTGCTCTGCAATGGGAGAGTCCACAGCAGTGAGAGGCCCCCGTACTGTCGCCGTAAAAAAATATATATATATATATATATTTCCAACTAGAAGAATTTCAAACACAAATTGTCATTACATATACTTCTGCTTCCTTCTGTACTCCCACATAGAGGATGCTGGAGAAAGACATGAATTACATCCTTTAGAGACAAAGAAGATAAAGGCCACTGTTCTGAACTGAATTCTGGTGAGAGCTGACAGGAGAACTTTTTACATATAGGTATTTAAAACAATGAATTTAGAACACCTACTTCAAAAAGCATACTTTACTAGCAAATTCTGTTTTATTTCTTCAGTAAGGATGGGATGGAAATAAACACTTAACTAACACAAAATGAAACAACTGTGTTCGTGTTTCCTCAATGTTCGGCGCTGACAACATCAACATTTCTGGACGCTCGGTTCGGCCTGAGGGCTCACCTGCAGTTTCTGGTATATCTGGAGTAACTCTTCGTAGATCTGGTTGACCTGACGTGGAAGCACACCCTGCTTGTTTGAGGCTCTGGACGCTGGGGAGCTGACACGTTTCGAAGGAGACTCACTAGCGTCATTGCAACAGTCAGTCCAGTTCCTTGAATCTGAGGCCAAATTAGTTGGTTCAGCAACTGCTAAGAAAATTAAACTTAAATTAAAAACTTAATTTATAGTTTTAAGTATCCTCATAGTATTGTTAAAAAGTTTCAAGGACTATATGCAGAGAGAAAGAATGATATAGCAAACAGTGAACATTTAGAAAATTTGGATGAAGGCCACACAGGAATTCTTTGTGGTCTTTTTGCAACTTCTCTGTAAATCTGAGATTACTCCAAAAATGAGTGCGCGAAAGCACTTATGGATTAACTACCTAGGCCAAGAAATGGAAAGTTACCTCAGAAACTCCAGAGCACATTCCCTTCTCTCCCTTACACCAAATTAACCGCTAACCCAAATACAGTGCTCATCATTGTTTCACTTTTTAATTTTTACTACTTATGTTTAAAAAATTATTTGTTTTGCCTGTCTTTAAACTTTATATAACATCTGTAGTTAAATAATCATATAATTACATAACCTCTATAACCTCCCCCGTTAAATAACACGTTGCTGTATTAACGATGGTGGCAGGTTCACCACCCTCCACTGCTTCACCTGTGCTGTGTTTTTTGCGCACGGACACCTGAGCGGTGCTGCCTGCACAGAGGCCAGGCGGCCCTGCACCTGGCTCCTGGCGCCCACGGTGAGCGCTCCCCTGGGTCACACGATCAGCAGCAACGCTGCAGGGTTGCCGGGTACACGTGCAGAGTCAACTGCACGGTGCCCAAAGCTAGCCAGCTCCCCTGACAGCAGTGGAGGGCGAGGTCCTCCTGCTTCGCTCCTTGCCAGCACTGAGCTATCAGAACTCACGCTCTGCTAATCCTGAGCACGGTGGTTTTCCCTTGCATTGGCCTCCAGCTGGGGCAGCGCCCCGGCTTTAAGATGGGCTCTCCCACAGTACTCCCCATCTTGGACAGACTGGGGAGCCAAGACAAAAAGTAGGCACGTTTAGAAAGGAAAACGTCTCCCTTCCCTCACTCAGCAGACGCCCTTCAAGGGGAGGCACCCTCTTCGGGCTCCCTTCCCCCCAGCACCAGCCTGAAGACGCCTTAGTTCTGTCAGCCTTTACACACACTCAGCACTTGTTCAATGGTCATCCGTGGGAAAATCCACCGCACAGCAGGAAACACAAGCCGGCAGTGTTCTTCATGCTCCTCGCACACTGAGACGAACGATGAAAAGGACGGAGCAGCGAGTGTACTGTGTGTGCGGGAGACGCAGAGGCTCCCAGGGGCAGCTGGGTCCTGCAGCCAAGAGGGGAGGGCACCACCCCAGCTGCCTCTTTTCCTGAAAGCCTGGCAAAACTAGGATAGGCAGCCAGGTACACAAAGAGCAACTACTGGCTCAGGGCCAAAGGAAGCCAGACCTCAAGTGATCTGGACTATTTTCCTAAAATGTTTAAGGAATAGCTACCTACTACCATAATTTTACTCACTTCCTAACAAATACTGACATGAAAAAGAACTGAAGAAATTATAAAAATATTCAGTTGATTATTAAGCGCTTTTGATAAACTTTGAGAGTGTACAAATTCCACTGGAAAATCATGAAGTTTATTTTTTCTTCTCCTTTAGCTTAATGACAAGCACAGTAACCATCTCATGGCTTACAAAAATCCAGGACACAGAAATACAGACCCCTGAGAACCAGGGTTATTACTATGGGGTAAGCTTTATGTGCCCTACTTGACAGAGTTACTGTTTAAATGACTGTTCCAAAATGAGTATTTCTCTTACCTTTGTTTATCTGTTTAAAAGACTGCTTGTTTATTTCGGAGGTACTAACCCTATGATCATTCCCAATGAACTCTTCTTCTGTTTCCTGTTGTTTTAAATCTTGAAGAGAATCCAGTTCCTCATCTAGGCTTTAAAAAAAATTCTATCACAGCATTCTGGAAGATTTCTATAGCATTTAAAGCAGGTGAGACTGCTTTTCAAATATTAACAGCGTAACAACTGTGAAAAACGTAACAAGTAAACATGTTTAAAAAAGCAAAAGGAAAAAATGTAAAGTACCAATCACTGATGCTGAAAACTCACTACAAAGATCCTTCTACACATTCAAACAGGCTCAACTGCAAACTGCACACCCTGTGGATGCTCCACACTCCTCCTTCTGACCCTGGATGCTGCTGTGTGGCAGATCTGACAGGCACTGCTTTCTCTAATTGTAACTAAGAGAAATAGTGTTTAAGGTGAGAAAACGGAACCCTGAAGTTCAATTAACTGACAGGTGATATAACCAGCAAAAGGTGAAGCAGAACTAGAATCCCAGGTATTCTCTCCAAAAAGATCATCTGAACGTTGACATTTCCAGATCAGTGCTGTTCAAAGAGAATATACTGCAAGTCACAAAAGAGAATTTAAAATTTGGGGGAATTCCCTGGCAGTCCAGTGGTTAAGACTCTGTGCTCTCACTGCCAACAGCCCGGGGTTCAATCCCCAGTCGGGGAACTAAGATCTCGCAAGCCCCTCGGTGCCGCAAGAAGAAAAAACAAAATTCTAACAGCCACATTGAAAACATAAAAAGACATGAAATTTTAACAATATGCTATATTTAACCCAGTATATCTAAAACACTGTCATTTTAACATACAATCGATATATATATATATATATATATATATTTTTTTTTTTTTTT